GATACTTACATTACATTATGACTTACATTTGATTGGTTTGTTCTTCTACTCTCTGGAGTTTCAATAAATAGACAAACAAGGACCTCATCTTATGAACATGGAGGGAGCTGCACTACCTCATTCCCTCCTGTCTTTCCCTGACTTCTGTGATGGCCAGCCATCCCATGTCCTCATTGTGTTGATGCCCATCTTTCCCCTGTCTTCTCTCACTCTTCTCCGTTCGGGGTTGGGTAACACCTGAAGATGGGTTTGGAGCTCTGTTTCCATGCGCTTTGGAAATGGAGTTCCATAGAGTCCCACCAGAAGTGGACTTATGCCATGTGATGGCCTCCATAGGACTCCTCTGAAGCTCCATGTCCAAAATGCATGGAAACGGAACCTTAAACCCAAGATGAAGACCTAAGAGTAGGAAAAGAGGACACTGGATTTAAAATCCCACATAGTTAGCACCTCATTAAATCCATCTAAGAATGGGCTGTTGAAGAATAAAGGATAAAGAATAAAGTGTGATATGCTCTGTTCTTCTTGAAATAGAAACAGTAACTGGAAGAAAGCTGACATAAAATCTGGATGGAAGAAAAATCTGCTCTGTCTTTTGCATAGCCTAAATTTATTATTTATTATTTACAGTATTTATATACCACCTTTCTCACCCCTGGGGGGACTTAAAGCAGCAATGAGAGACATCATTGCTACAATAAATACGAGATCTTAACTTTTTTCCCACTCATTGCATTTTTCAGTCCCCAAAGGAAGGACAGTTAACTGCAGTGAAAGAGTTGTAGAAGGATTTCATTGGTTTTTCTCAATAAGTGAATGAAATAAAATTCACCATTTATCATTTACCCTTCCTACTGAATCCAATACATTTTCTGTTCAGATCACATGTAAGAAAGTCATTATGTTGATACATGTGGTTTGATCACAACAACAGCTTTATCTACACTACATCCAAGTGTGCTGTTATTATAATATCCTGACTTCTATTTACAAGCACAACTTTGCCCACTGGGTTTGGCAGTATTCTAATCCTGAGGTATTTGCCAAGCATTCCAATTCCAGTTCCCTCTCAGCCGTGGATAAACTTTTCAAACATAATGTTGTAATCAGTTTCAGGAAGTAATTACACTCTAGATTTCTACAGAGAAGCTCTAGTAAAGAAAAAATAGTTACTACTATTTTATTTCTCTTTGCAGACTCATATTTTTTAAAGAAAAGATCAAAAACTCCTTTAGTAACTAGTAGTTTTGCTAAAATGTTTAATGAGACTCTGAGTGTCTCTAAACTGTTAATGCATCTTGTCACCACTTTAACTGCCATGGCTCAATGCTATGGAATTTTCTGATTTGTAGTTTGGTAAGTTGCCAGCATTCTTTGGTAGAGAAGGATAAAGACCTTGTAAAATTACAACTCCCATATTTCCATAGCATTGAGCCATAGCAGTTAAAATAGTGTCAAACTGCATTGATTCTAAAGTGCAGATGCATCTCCTATAACTGTATCTTGAACCTGCAGGAAATTGCACCTTTTCATACGAAAGACATCTGAGACAGAAATATCAAGACAGGTTTTTTTTTCCATAAGCAACCCAGTGGCCACACTGTAATGTATCCATGGGTGCATTCATGGTATGAAAGCCAGAGTGGTTTGAGGGTGTATCTACACAGATTACATAACGTGAAGCCAGCTGAAGGAGGAGGTGTCTACAAAATGCACCCCCCCCCAATACTCACTCTGACACACACTTAACCTGAAACAGCATAAGCCAGTTAACGTGCTGTGGCCAACCAGAGTATAGGGGGAAGTGTGCCTTTGTTGGTTCTCCTGGACATCTCAGCGGCTTTTGATACCATTGACCATGGTATCCTTCTGGGGCAGCTCTCCAGAATGGGTCTTGGGGGAGTTTTGGAGTTCGGTGCCATCTGTATGCAGATGTACACACTATTACTCCTTTTCACCGAATTCCAAGGAATCTCGCCAGATCCTAGACCAGTGCCTGGATGAAAGACAGAGGTCCTCCTGGTCAGTCGTGAGGCAGATTGGGGTATACGGTGGCAACCTGTACTGGACGGGGTTACACTCCCCCTGAGGACACAGGTCCGCAGTCTGGGGATCCTCCTGGACTCAGTACTGATGCTTGAAGCTCAGGTGTTGGCGGAGGGTCTTTGCACAGTTAAAGCTTGTATGCCAGCTGCGACCATACCTCAAAAAGCCTGACTTAGCCGCAGTGGTCCATGCCTTAGTTACATCAAGATTGAACTACTGTAATGCACACTATGTGGTGCTGCCTTTGAAGATGGCTTGGAAACTGCAATTGGTCCAAAGATCTGCAGCCAGACTACTAACCGGAGCCAGCTATAGGGAGCACATGATACCCCTACTAAATCAGCTCCATTGGCTGCTGATAAGTTTCTGATCCCAATTCAAAGTACTAGCTATCACCTATAAAGCCCTAAACAGCTCGGGCCCTGCCTATCTTTGTGACCGCATCTCTCTCCCCCCCCCCCCCCCCCCCCCCCCCCCCACAATGAACCAACGTGGATACTAAGATCTGTTGGGGAGGCCCTCCTCTTGGTTCTGCCACTGACACAAGCGCAGTTGGTGGGGACAAGGGAGAGGGCTTTCTCAGCAGTGGCACCCCGGCTTTGGAACTCCCTCCCCAGGCGGGAGTTCCATTTCATAGGGACTTGAAGACCTGCTTCTTCAGTAATGCGTTTGAGAATATGTAGCCTCTAGTTGTCCTACGTAGTAGGCACACATCCTGCACTTTATCCCATGTCCTCTCTCCATTTTTGCAGCTTGCACTTACTTTATTCCAATGTTTACAGCATGGCCATGGTGCCAGTAATTTTCTGCCACAGTTAAAGGATCGCAGCTTCATTGAGTCTGAATTGATGTGCATATGTCTTATTGTATTTCATATTGTGTTTGTTTTTATATTTGTTTTAAGACACTTTGTGCCATCTGTAAGCTGCCCTGAGTCCCTTCAGGGAGATAGTGGTGGGATATAAGAATAAAGCTATTATTGAAGTTATTATATTCCATGCGAGGCTCAAAACTGGGATGGGAAAATTTGGAGTGCTTGTCAGGACAGAACACTTTAAAAAAACACTGAAACACAGATTGTCAGAAGGTAAATAATTATTCCCCTGGGAGGAAAACCACATCATTTCCACAGGAACTCTCACTTTCCCCTCCTTTGTTTTCATTTCCTGTGTCTTGACATAGTCCACTGCTGATCTTGAATGGGCAGGGTGATGCACATCAGCACAGTTCAGCAGACTGGTTAACAATAACAATAACAACAAAACATTCCTGGGGTTTGGTTCCAATCTGCAATCAGAAGATATAGTGGCCACCGTTCCAGCCTCAAACACATTCTTGAGAGCTTGGTGCAAGCATTGCACAGCAAAATTTCTTTGTTTTAATCCACCTTCAAACTGCACTGTTATATCAGTATAGCACCCTGTGTGTGTCGGACTATGACTTTGGAGACCAGGTTTGAATCTCCATTTGGCCATGGTGACTTAGAGCAAATCATTCTCTCTTAGCCTTAGAGGAAGGCAAAGGCTACCTCCCTCTGAACAAATTTTGTCAAGAAAACCCCAGATAGGTTTGTCTTAGGGTGCCATCTCCACTGTCTGCTAGTCTGCTACCGAGCACAATTCCAAATGCTGGCTTTAGCCTATAAAGCCCTAAATGTTTCCGGCCCAGCTTACCTATCCAAATGCATCTCTCTCTATGATCCACCTCAGAAGTTAAGGGCATCGGGGGAGGCCCTGCTCTCGGTCCCACCCCCTTTGCAAGCGTGATTGGTGGGGACGAGGGATAGGGCCTTCTCAGTGGTGCCCCCTCATCTGTGGAACTCCCTCCCCAATGAAATCAGGTCAGCCCCCCCCCTTAAGTTTCAGGAAAAAACTTAAGACATGGCTGTGGGCCCAACTATTCAACCAGTAATTGAAACAGTGCAATTATCATAATGGATAAATGGGAATGACAGTTGGACAAGCCTCGGACTACGATTTGGATTATGTGATTTTAATTGATGTTTTAATAATTAATGTTCAATTTTATGGATTTTAAATGTATTCGTCTATTTCTGTATTTATGTGTTGGCATCGAATTGCTGCCTAATTGTAAGGCCACCCTGACTCCCCTTCCAGGTGAGAAGGGTGGGATATAAATGTGGGAAATAATAATAATAATAATAATAATAATAATAATAATAAGTCCATATGTAGAAATGAACATGCACAACAGCAAAATGTTTGCATAAGCTAGACCAAAAAGATTTTTTCAAAGTATTTCCTCATTCTGTATTATATATTTATTACTTTTAGCTGAAGACATCTATATTTTCAAATGAGTATCATTGTCTGAACCCAACTGCCGCCTCTCCCAGAATACACCCACTGAAACAATGGGTTTTATAGAAGTGTTGACTTATCATTCACTGTTGATTCAGCAGCTTGGGAGTAGCAATTGGATTTAGGTTTATGAGTGTTCTATCTTAGCGAAATACCATACAAAAGGCTTACTTATAAATAAAACATGTCCTGCTCAGTGATGCTGCAAAAGATGTGTGACTCACGCAAACCCCTGAGCTGCCGCATCTTGTCTACAGACCTTTTTATTTGGAAACGCGTAAGTATTTGCCTTCAGTCTAGATTGGACAGAAAATATATCAAAATCTACAGATAGATTTTCAGACAATTTGCAGAAATTGTGTCTAATTTCCAGTTATCTAACAGTTATTTCCAAATTGTTGGGGGAAACATCTCATGAAAAGAAACTATATTGTGTTGCTAATCAAACTACCTTAGATCTGGTAAGTATAAAGTATGCTACACATTTACAATATTTGTTGTCAGTGTATTTCAACAGGTGGTTTCTATCCCAAATAACTGCCTATAAATGGGGCAGGATTTTATGTTTTTATAACATTTGACATTGTTTAATGTAGATGCTTGAAATGCTTCTTCCTTATGATGTTTTCCCAGGTCTAGCACCTCCCTGAACAGATCTCATTGAGTTGTAGTTGGAGGCTGTCTTGTCTTAGACGGAGAGGAGGAGCAAGACGGATACTATTGGGTCACAACCTCTAAATTAGATCTCATTGAGAACCTTAAGGTGATGCCAGGTCTTCAAAGAATTTCAGATTGAAGCTGTGAATGCTGCAGTGGTCAATGCTATCCGGTAGGTGGTTTCTACCTTGGATCATGTTCTACAAATGAGCAGTTGTTATACGGCAGAACTATGTAACTTCTCAGAATGCCCAGTTAGGGGAATGATATAAGAGGGAACTGGAAAGGTCTTCACATTTTAATATCTGACTAAAAGAAGAGAAAGAATTCTCCACTTGCTGATATTCTTTTTCCTCTGTAAACTCCTATCAAAGGAATGGAAGGCTTGCCCTTCTTATTTGGTTTGAACGGGGCATCATCTGTGATGTATATTTAGGAGAAAATTCACCTAAGGCTATTGTTTAAAACCTTCACTTATTTTTGCCACAAATAATTAGAGATACAAATCAAGAGGAAAAGCCAGTTGCACATTTGTAACATAAATCCCATTTTCACCTGATGATCAAGCAAGAACTTTGTGATTGATGTTTTCTCCCCCAAAATGTCGCCTCCCCTTTGCTCTTTAAAAACAAATCTCTGGCCTTTGTTGTAAGAGTGTACAACTATGGAACACGTTATTTAACTTCTCAAAAGCAGATAATTTTCTCTATTGTGTTTTCAGAATATTATGATTTTGAAGATGTTTAGAAATTTGTGGAAAATATTGAAATGTTGCTATGAACAGGTCAATCCATCTGGAAATTCTCCTGTGATTGTTTCACTGAAATGAAAAAGTTCCTCTACTGTCCTCTTGCAGTCATTTCAGTTGTATCTGAGTAAAAGACATTCTTAGTGGATTGTATCCATGTCAAGATGAAATGTTGAGATGCTAATATATATTTAAGAACATAATACAGGATGACTCCCTTATGCATTTGATATCCACGATTTCACTTACCACACTGGTCCTCCAGTGTGATTCCATGAGGCAAAGCATACATCTCTTTCTTTGAAAGAAGATATAACTAGTGTTACCAGTGACACTTACCTAGCATATGTTTGGGTTATTTTTGAGGAGGCAGTTACAGACATCAGTTGAGGAGGAAAGAAGCACTGAATCCATTGGCAGAGCACTTTGCTTTGCCAGTGGAGCACACCATGTTTGTTTAAGGGAGTCTATGATTATGGATTTGAGAAGTCTCTATATAAAAATCCTTAACCATCAAAATTTCAGTGACTACTACATATACTCCTCTATATGTCTAGAAGCTTTAGTAAAAAAAAAAAACCAAACCAATCTCCAAACATATCCTCATATTAATTAATGTACTGTGCCTTATTAAAAAAGGAAGTATTGCCTCCCTAATAACCTCATCACACTTACCTTAAACAACATTCTAGGATGCTTCCACCCTAACTTGGGGATGGAACCCCACACTGGCCATAACATGATGTTGTGTGACTTCTGGCAGATGTCCCACCCCATCCAGGGTGAAAGTGTCACCGGAGGCCTCACTCTCAACACAGGAGGCTTCCTGTGTTGTGCTGGCCCCAATTGAGCCAGCACAGATCCTTGCCACTTGGACAACACTTTCCCCATGTGACGAGGAAAGCGTTGCTGAGCGGGAACTGCACCTGGAGTGACAGAGTTGCCCCACTGCCTTTCCTGAAGCTAGGCAAAGCAGGACACTTTGCCTGGCCTTTTGGATGAGGGCATAGATAGAGTAGTGGAAGCCCTTTTTGAATAACGGCTGCCCCCCATAGGCAGTGGTGGCAGTTTTTCTTCTTTGCAGAATGACCCTCAGCTTTTCCATGGGTCATGCAAAAATCCATCACTTTGGCCATCAAACCGTCCCTCAGCTTACACATGAGTTTGACTTATTCATGAATATATTCAGTATTTACAAATTTGAGAGTTTTAGCAAACTAATGTCTCAACTCTGGAATATTGGGAATCATTATAATTTTGTTTATAAACACAAGGAAATGTGAAATCACCACATATGGTTCAGTTTGTGATGTATTGAATGTTTCACAACAGCATATTGATTTTTGTGACAAGGGGAGAAAAACTTTACAAGCCATGACATCACATATTGATGGAAGAGATACTTTATCTAGTTCCATGCATTTCCATAGACTTTTAACAAAGAGTGCAATAATCCATCCCAATGCACTGCAAGTTTATATTTAAAACATTGGGTATCAGAACCCACCATTTACATTCTAGTACTACAGATACTATCTATAGTTCTATAGTTGAAGTTAAGACTCAGTTTTCAAATTTGCAAAATCAACTTTTCATTTCTCAGGAGAACCTTGGCTCCAAGTAATTAATCTGTCAATCTGTGAACTAGAACATCAGAGCACATGCATTTTGTTTACCTTTGTGGTACATGCCAAGTACGATAAACAACCCGGGTTATTGAAGTAATATGGTTACAGTGAGAAATTTGCATTACAAATTCACAAGCTTATTTATTTATTTCATTTATTTCTTGAATTGATTTCCTGCCCTTTTCTCAAAATGGGATGGCAGATTACAAAATCAGGAGCTATGGACTACAAATGAACAAAGTTGAATGTAAAGTTTAGAACCAATGTTTTGAATTTTAGGAGGGTTTTTTTGGCTTTGTTTTTGTTTTTTGTTTTTTGTCAGTAACAAAGTATGAGGCCCTTACCTTTAGTTAAAAGTACACAACATTATAATAATTCATTAATTTAACTGTTCCAAAATGCATGGCTTCTCACTGATCCTTTGCCTTGAAAGATAATTTACTTTCAGTTACTCAACACTCATGATGGCATCTCCAAGATAATTGTGATCCCTTGCAAAAAGAAAAAAATCCTTTGATGTGTCAGAGGCAGAAATCCATTGCTTTCACTGTATGTTAATCAAATATGGGTTTTGGGAAGCTCTTTTCCCAACTGTCATATATTGAGCAACTTGGGAAGCAGACAATGTCTTAATAAAAAACTCTATTATCTTAATGGTGAAGTGAATTCAAAAGAGTTATTTATGTGGTCAAGTAAGCCACTTTTTGTGGCTTTGAACATGCCTATCTTTATGATCTAAATGATACAGTTAAAATCCTTGAACTTGGGGAGGTGGACTGTGCCATTTGCTCCCGTTTTTCCATCCTCTGACCCCCCCCCCACCTTGTGGGATATATAAAAGAAGGCTACCTTGCTGTTTGTGTGCCCCCACAACCAAGGAAACACCCAGGCTCCTAAAAATGTCAAAGGAAGGCCAAAACTAAGACAAGTCAAGCCCGCATTTTGGACTACAGGAGAGCTGTCTTTCAAAAAAAATGAAGGAAATACTGAACAGCATCCCATGTACTCAGATACTAAAAGACAAGGGAGTTACAAATGGATGGGAGTTTTTCAAGAATGAAATACTCAAGGCGCAATTGCAAACAGTGCAACAAAGAGAGAGAAAAAAGGACAAGTGCAAAGAAGCCAGAATAGATGTCCAAAGAACTTCTAACTATGCTAAGACTCAAAAGAGACATGGACAAGAAGTGGAAAAGGGGAGAAATCACCAAAGAAAATTTCAAACAAATAGCCACCTCCTGTAGGGAAAAGGTACACAAGGCTAAAGCACAAAACAAGTTCAGACTTGCCAGGGACATTGAAAACAATAAAAAGGGCTTCTTTTCATATGTCAGTAGGAAAGGGAAGAACAAGAAGGTGATAGGGCCTCTTTGAGTAGATGGGGCAATGCTGACAGGGAATAGGGAAAAGGCAGAACTGCTTAATGACTTCTTTGCCTCCGTTTTCTCACAAAAGCAAAGTCATCTTCAACCTCAGCAAGATGGAGTGGGTGAGAGATTAGAGGACATCCAACCCCAAATTAGGAAACAAGTCATCAAGGAATTCTTCAGGGCGGTTATACATGCTGGGTAGTTGCAAATTTGGCAGTATTATGTCCAGCACAAGAATAATGCTTGGTCAAAATTTCAAGTCCATATCTTCGTCTGCATGGAAATTGTTGCAGTCTGAATATTGGTCAAAATTTGTTGTGACACATTTTGATGCACACTTTGAGTCAGCTTGTTTGACTGGATTTTGCATCCAAAATGTTAACATTCATTTCATCAGAATCAGCAGAAAAAAAACTGTACAGGATTTCAATTTACTAGCCATTCTTAATGCATTAAGTTTCAATTTTATTAGACCCCAAAATAGCATTTTGTTAAATGTCATGTGCACACTGAATGACTACCCTTCAGATAAGGGGGTTTGGTGAGCAACTATTGCCGTTGGGAATAGTTTTGGGAAACCTAGTTTAACACCCGACTGGCACTACAGATAAAATTTGAACAAATTTGGAGACATGGTGGTGGGAAAGTTTAGATCACATGGCATGGAATGACCCCATACAACAATAAAGAGTTCCTATATAAAGACTAGATAATAAAGACTAGATAATTTGGAATCCAAAGGGGAAATTTAGATGAGATGAATTTCAGATTAACATTGATCTCTCATCCTCCATCTTTTAACAGATGGACACCAGAAGCAACTTGTAGTTTCTCAAACTACAGTTCAATGAGTTCTCTTCAAACACAAGTCTTGTCACACAAGGAAATTCTTTATGCCATTGATAAATCTGAAAGTTTATGCTACAATAATTTTTCAGATATGGCAGTTTCTTGATGTTCTCCTTGCACTGCTTGAAAGTAGCACTGCTTGAAAATACACTATGAGCCTGTATCTACAGGGAATACATTTCTGGGCTTTGTGTGGATATGTGGAGCTTTAGATAATATAATAATCTTTATCATTATTGAACACTATTGAAATAAAGCACTTCTGGTTCAAGAATTGCATAGAATCACATTGGAGGATCTAGAAAATACCTAGAAAGGACATTATATCCTATCTGAAAAATGAAATTGCAGGTTCTGGTACTGAAGTTATGGAGGCTATACAGTTGCCCCTCCACATTTGTGGTTTTGACTTTTGCAGATTTGATTATTTGGGCATTTTATTTTAAATTTTCTCTACAAATCTCTAGAGAGAATACTTTTAGTGTGAATCTATAGTCAGCTTCCTCCAGTCATGCTAGAGGATGTTAGAGATTTCTAGGGAGAACACTTCACAGCATCTCTAGGTCCACCAATGCAATTGTTTGGAAGATCTAGAGATTCCTATGTTCAGCTTTCGGAGGAGGTTGGCCATAGAATTGTGCTGAAAGACATCGCTAGAGACGTAAAATAACAAAGCAGTTTTGTGTGTTTTTGTACTTTTATGGGGGTCCTGTGTCCTAACGCTAGCGAATGTGGAGGGCTGATTGAACTGTAATCAACTTTAGAGTCACAGAGTTTTTATGAAGCCACATCCCAACTTGCGAAAAGCCTTTGGATTTGCTGGAAGGTGTTCCTGCATTTATTGGGATTTTATTTAAAAACCAAACAAACATATGACATGCTACTGTTCTATTCTATTTCTCATGAATTTCTGAGACTGCCCAAGACTTTTAAAACCCAGGGCAAGGATAAATCTCGGCATTTAGATAGTTTTTAATCTGTTTGATTGATTTATGTGTATTTTAATTGCTTATATGTTAATATTGTTTTATATTTTAATGATATGTGCTTTATTGTTTATCTGTATGGCATTACATATTTACCAGATTTGTAAGTTGCCTTGAGTCCTCTCTGGGGTCAGGAAAGGCAGGGCAGAAATGAAGTAAGTAAATAATAAATAAATAAATAAATAAATGGATGCCTTTTTCTATTGTCTCAGTTACCTCTGTATTTCTGAGCATTCCTACTAAATGGATAGATCTTTGTCATGGAAGTTTTTCTCTGACATTTCTTCCCTTGTTATTTATTTATTTATTTATTTATTTATGACATTTATAGCCTGCCTTTCTCAACCATACGTGATTCAAGGCGGGTTACAGATTGGCACAATTCAATGCCATGCATTCATAAAAGTGTGATTTAAAACAGTCAACGTAATATATATATATATATATATATATATATGACCATTAAAAATTTAGTCACTTATGTCATCTTGTTAAAATTGTTTTCCAGTAACATCGTCTGGCCATTCCATGTTCATCATTCATAGTTTCATGTTATCTATTCCGCTGTATTCTCAAAAGCTTTTTACCTTTTTTTGAAAAAGTCAGGAGGGAGGGGGATGATCTAATATCCCTGGGGAGGGAGTTCCATAGCTGTGGGAGCCACCACTGAGAAGGCCCTGTCCCTTGCCAATTGTGCTTGCGATGCAGGCGAGATTGAGAGCAGGGCCTCCCCAGACGAGCTCCGAGATGGTTCATAAGGAGAGATACCGTCGGACAGGTAAGCTGGGCCAGAACTGTTTAGGGCTTTATAGGCCAAACCCAGCACTTTAAATTGCGCCCGGTAGCAAATTGGCAGCCAGTGGAGCTGACACAACAGAGGAGTAGTGTGCTCCCTGAGCACCGCTCCTGTTAGTAACCTGGCTGGAATATTTTTCTTCTTCTTTCTTCCTTTTTGTTTATCGTTGTCATGCTAAAGACAGGCAGACATTTGAATTTTTTCCCCAAATTACATTTAGAGCTTAGTTATTAGCCTTTGTTCCTTAAAGAACAAAAGAATTTTTAGAAGAGTTGACCTTACACTAGAGGTTGTACTAATGATGCAATAATTACAAGTCAAACACTTTCAGGAATGTTTACTAATCCAGAAATATTATTATAAGGAGGAAAGAATAAAAGGAAGCTACTGCATATATGCATGTGTAGAATTTTAAAAAGGCATCTTTAAACAATCACAGAAGGAAAAAATTGGGACGGTGATTTATGAAGGACACATACCGGAAATGGAGGGAAGTCTTTGGTAATTAAAGGTATTTGAGCCTGGAGCCAACTTTCCTACTTGCAGAATTGATAATTGCATGAAGGCAAATGTCCGAATAGAGCATATTGGTTCCAAATGAAAATGGTTAATTTAACCAATTCAACTAATTGATTGGATGATCCTCTTATCAATACATAGCCTGACATATGTGGCATATGTGTTCTCATGTGACAGCTATTTTCTTTTATTAATTTCTACTTGTTTCATCAGCAGAGGAATTGTTTCCCCCAACTTTGAAAAATCTCTGTTATGTTTCCTATAAAATCTTTCTTTTGTCCATTCTTCCCAGAATGGCTAGGCCAGCAAGAAGGAAGAATTCCCTGGAGCCATGGATGATTGCCTTGATTGTCCTAGCAGTGTTGGTGGTCTTAGCCATTATCATCGGATTAGTTGTATATTTTTTGGTGTATGGTGAGTGCAACCATTATTATCAGTCTTTTTGACTTCTGTCCCTCTCTTTTTTCAAATCCTTCAGCAAACAATGAAGAAGGTAGGCTTGCTCTAGGATATAGTCTAGGGAAAACTAGGACAACAATCATTTTCTAAAAGGAGTCCTAGTAGCCACTATTTTTCACAAAGTCTGCTGTTGGGTATGGTTGTTCATTCCCACTGGCTAATTTCAGAGAGGGTTAGGGAAAAATAATTGACTGAAACTTTGAGCAACTGCTGCCAGTCCAAACTGATACTATTGGGCCAGATTGAACAATGGTCTGATTCAGTATAAGGCAACTTCCTATATACCCATAAAGCCACAGCACTGGAATTTCAAGACCTTGAGACCTGATACCTCTAAGCATAGTAGAGGAAGAAACAATTTTGAGGAGAAATGTTTGAACTGACCCAGCCCCTTCTCATCTCCATTTCATCAACCCAAGAACTCCAGATGATCTGGCATCAGATTTTGTTTGTTGTCTAGGATGCGGGGAAGATAGCATGGAACATCTGAATTTTAGATGCCCTTCGTCCTTTCCTCCTATTAGATAAATGTGTAACCACTGTGCTATGGGGTTACAATTTGTCTTGCTTCTGACAGTGGATCCTCAAAAACAGAGGGACCTTTCAAATGACACAATTATGATTCGACTTAAACTGCTGTGTCTTATGAGGTTCTTATGCTATGTCTGCTGAGGCACCAGAGTAGCTCTCTGGCTGAGAATTCTAAAACGATATTAAAAGTGGGATTTCAATTTAATTTGTGTTGAATTACATTTGTGTAACTCAAAAGAGATCCCAAAGCACTATGCATCTCTGTCAATGGCAACTTAACTATGTCACAATCTTGCAAATCAGCTGGCTGGGAGTCAGCTGCATTAAGATCACTACTGACCAAAAGGTCATGAGTTGGAAGCCAGCCCAGGTTGGAGTGAGCTTCTGACCAATTTGTGTAGCTTGCTGTCGACCTTTGCAGCCTGAAAGACAGTTGCATCTGTCAAGTAGGAATCATAGAATCAAAGAGTTGGAAGAGATCTCATGGGCCATCCAGTCCAACCCCCTGCCAAGAAGCAGGGATATTGCATTCAAATCACCCCTGACAGATGGCCATCCAGCCTCTGTTTAAAAGCTTCCAAAGAAGGAGCCTCCACCACACTCCGGGGCAGAGAGTTCCACTGCTGAACGGCTCTCACAGTTAGGAAATTCTTCCTCATGTTCAGATGGAATCTCCTCTCTTGAAGTTTGAAGCCATTGTCCCGCGTCCTAGTCTCCAAGGAAGCAGAAAACAAGCTTGCCCCATCCTCCCTGTGGCTTCCTCTCACATATTGATACATGGCTATCATATCTCCTCTCAGCCTTCTCTTCTTCAGGCTAAACATGCCCAGCTCCGTAAGCTGCTCCTCCAGACCCTTGATCATTTTAGTCGCCCTCCTCTGGACATATTCCAGCTTGTCAATATCTCTCTTGAATTGTGGTGCCCAGAATTGGACACAATATTCCAGGTGTGGTCTAACCAAAGCGGAATAGAGGGGTAGCATTACTTCCCTAGATCTAGACACTAGAAATTTAGGTACCGCTTATGCGGGGAGGCTAATTTACAACGCCATAAAAATCTCCAACAAGCATGCAAAGAATGAGGAAGTACTTCATCAGTGTCACAAATGGACGGTGAATCAACAGCTCCCTGGTGGCCAGAATACTCTCATAAAAAAGCTGGAATGTTAAATAGCCTCTGTGTGTCTGTCTATATATGTTGTGTGTCTATGGCATTGACTGTTTGCCATGTATATGTACATTGTAATCCGCCCTGAGTCCCCTGCGGAGTGAGGCCCCCTCCTATTTGGCATTCCGGAAGAGAGTGAAGACCTGGCTCTTCAAACAGGCTTTCAACTAAGCAGTGCAATTGATTGATTATTGGAATATGGATTAATGGACAATGAGATTGGATGCTGATTCTATTGATGAGATGTGATGGATTGTTATTTTGTTGTACTGTTGTATTGATGTTTTGATGTTAATTAATTAATATTGTTGTTTTATTTGACTAATGATTTGTATTGTGCTGTTGAATTGGTTGTTAACCGCTCTGAGTCACCTGAGGGCTGAGAAGTAAATGAAGTAAATAAATAAATAATATAAATCCTGTAAATAATAATAATAATAATAATAATAATAATAATAATATTCAAAAGGAAAATATAAGCATCATTAATTTTTTTAATTTCTCTTCTCTCTATGCAGACCAAAGACTGTTCTTTTACAATGCTTCCTTTAGAATCAATAATGTATCATACAATCGTGGCTTCGAAAAACAGACCTCAGAAGAATTTAGAGATCTGAGTGCAACTATTGAGAATTTGGTAAGTGAGAATGATTTGTCCTTCTGTGCTCTAAACTGGGGATAGGATGCTTTTAGAAAATAAAAAAAATATGAAAACAAAATCTTGCAGTCATGACACAATGCTCTAAGGACCTCATCCTATGAGGGGGCATGGGACAGGGAAGTATGGGAATTGTCTTCTTTACCAAAGTGGTTGATTGCATTCCATTTATAAGGAAAATGGATAATATATTCATCCACATCAAACGCAATGTACTTTTGTTTGTTTCTACCATAATCCTCTGCATTCTGAGCTATCACGTGAGCAAGAACAGTCCCCTTTTATACCACTCCCCCCCCCCTTTTAATTAAAAAAGGGGAAACCTTGGAATTGAGGAAGTCCAGAATCTGGGTCTTAAAAAGCGGAAGATACATCTATAATAAATTGGTTATATATCAAAATGGCCCAATTCCTAAAAAAAATAATTTTTTTTATTGCCATAAAAGTATCATACAAGAGAATTAATGGTGAGAAAAGGAACATCGAGGCACATTGTGAGATGCCCCAAAGGAATGCCCACACTTTGACGTCATTACAATGATTTAACATAGAAAAACCTGACATTTCCCATTCCACTTTAAAATCAATGCCTTTAACTGTTTTTGCACGAATCGGGACCTCTGAAGACAACTGCTCCCTAACTCCAAAACCTCAATTTCTACACACTTTAAAAACAGTTTAAAGAAGGCGTCCCATAGGGAATCTCCAGACGTCTGGCTCGAGAGCAGTATGTGTCAAAAAGATCTTGGAGTCCTTGTGGACAGCAAGTTAAACATGAGCCAACAATGTGAGCCAATGGGATTTTGTCCTGCATCAATAGGAGCATAGTGCCTAGATCTAGGGAAGTCATGCTACCCCTCTATTCTGCCTATTCACACCTGGAATATTGTGTCCAATTCTGGGCACCACAATTGAAGAGAGATATTGACAAACTGGAATGTGTCCAGAGGAGGACAACTAAAACAATCAAGGGCCTGGAGAACAAGCCCTATGAGGAGCGGCTTAAAAAGCTGGGCATGTTTAGCCTGAAGAAGAGAAGGCTGAGAGGAGACATGGTAGCCATGTATAAATATGTGAGAGGAAGTCACAGGGATGAGGGAGCAATCTTGTTTTCTGCTTCCCTGGAGACTAGGACGCGAAACAATGACTTCAAACTACAAGAAAGGAGATTCCATCTGAACATGAGGAAGAACTTCCTGACTGTGAGAGCTGTTCAGCAGTGAAACTCTCTGCCCCGGAGTGTGGCGGAGGCTCCTTCTTTGGAGGCTTTTAAACAGAGGCTGGATGGCCATCTGTCAGGAGTGCTTTGAATGCAATATTCCTGCTTCTTGGCAGGGGGTTGGACTGGATGGCCCATGAGGTCTCTTCCAACTCTACGATTCTATGATTCTAAGTAGCCATGCCGGCCACATAACCTTGGAGGTGTCTATGGACAACGCCGGCTCTTCGGCTTAGAAATGGAGATGAGCACCACACCCCAGAGTCAGACATGACTGGACTTAATGTCAGGGGACAACCTTTACCTTTACCTTTTAAGTAGCCATGGGTCTGTCTTTAAACTGTTTTTAAAGTGTGTAGAATATTTGACTAAATATTTAGGTCCAGCAGGGGGAGCCAGGTACCAAATAATGGGGGCATGCACTTAAAATTAAGGAAGTTATTCCTATTACAATAATTTGTTTTCAATATGAAAAATTATTTATTTATCATGTCAGAAGCGAATTGAGGGTACAGTTATAATGTATTTTAAAACACAAACAAAGTTATAAAACGCGATTTTACTAAATGTCCTTTCACCAGAAGCTGACCACTTGGAGTGCCTCTGGTGTCGTTGTAAGGTCCTCCTTTGTGCACGTGGCAGGGCTCAGTCTGCATTGTAGTAGGTGGTCTGTGGTTTGCTCTTCTCCACACTCGCGTGTTGTGGACTCCACTTTGTAGCCCCATTTCTGAAAATTAGCTCTGCACCTTGTGGTACTAGAGAGCAGTCTGTTCAGCGCCTTCCAAGTTGCTCAGTCTCCTCTGTGCCTGGGGGGAGTCTCTCATCCGGTATCAACCATGGATTGAGATTCTGGGTTTTAGCCTGCCACTTTTGGACTCTCACTTGCTGAGGTGTTTCTGCGGGTATCTCTGTAGATCTTAGAAAGCTATTTCTTAATTTAAAGCATTGGCATGTTGGCTGATATCTGAACAGAGGATGGGCTGGTGATATCACTGTCTTGGTCCTTTCATTATTGGTTGCTACTTCCTGATGGAGTTCAGGTGGTGCAATACCAACTAAACAGTACAATTTCTCTAGTAGTGTGGGGCATAGGCATCCTGTGATAATGCAGCATATCTCATGAAGAGCCACATCCACTGTTTTACCATAGTGAGATGTGTTTCACACTGGGAAAGCATACCCAACAGCAGAGTAGCAAAACTGTGTCTGTTTGTGATCTCCAGGTTGTGTCAGTCAGCATTCATATGATATCATTTCTAGCACTCACTTTTTGCTTGATAGTCAAGCAGTGCTTCTTGTAAGTCAGAGCATGGTCCAAGGTAACTTCCAGGTATTTGGGTGTGTTGCAATGCTCCAGTGGGATTTCTTCCCAGGTAATCCTCAGCTTATCTGTTCTTAAGGTGAAGAGCATACGTCTGTGTTTTAGCTGGATTAGGAATCAGCTGGTTTTCCCTGTAATAGGCAGTAAGAGCACCTAAAGCTTCGGGAAGCTTCTGTTCAACCATCTCAAAACTCCCAGCTTAAGCGGTGATAGCACAATTGTCAACATAGATGAAACTCTCTGTCACTTCTGGCAGTGGCTGATCATTCATGTAAATGTTAAACATTTATGGAGCAAGCACGCTCTCCTGAGGCAAGCTGTTTTTGGCCCTGGAATGCAACAAAATAGCTCCTGTTTTGTAGCAGATTTCCTATGAAGCGGGTGAGGTGGTAGTCCTTTGTGATATTATAAATTTTTCTCAGGAGAATGTGATGATTTACAGTATCATAAGCTGCTGACAGGTCTATGAAGACAGCTCCTATAATCTGCTGCCTTTCAAAACCATCTTCTATGTGCTGAATCAAGTTCAAAACTTGTGACATGCAGCTTTTGCCTTCTCTAAAACTAGCTTGTGTGGAATCATGCATGGGTCTATTTTTCCCATAATTCTATGCAAAATAAGTCTCTCCAGAACTTTGTAAAAATAGCACGACAAGGAGTACTCGAACTGAACTCATGGTTCAGTTATACAAAAATTCAGTTTTGGACCTCTTCCTTCTATCCCAAACTTTCTACCACCTCAGCATGGACATTTAGAACACACAGCAGGGAAATGATGACACACACACACACCTACCTCCTTTTTGGTGAATGTTAAATTATTGGGATCCTGTAACTCTTAATTGCCAGAACTTTGCAGTTTTTGTGGATCATCTTCAGGCAGGAGATGTGGGTGCAAATTCTCCAGTTTTGATGGACTGTGCTCCAGATAAGAAGAAAGTGCTGTGTGTGCATCTACAGCATCTACCAAGAAGCAGCTTGCCATAGTTTTCAAAGAGGTCTATATACTATCATTTGAAATTCTATGTCCCACCTTTACAAGTGAGTGGTTTCTGGTTCCAGAGATATCGCGATTTCAAAATACATTCATCTTTTTGGAACACCTTCTATTTCTTTCTTCAAGGAGGATAGAGCGGTGACATCACTAGAGTTGGTATCTCACCACCACATCACATGAGGTGAATTTAGTGTCCTAACAGGCTGTCAGGATGCTTCCTCCTCAGAGTCCCAAGCTGCCCATCACATGTCCTTATTGCTTGGTAGACCATTGAGTCTTCCTCTATGGAGCGGCGATAGCATAATGTTAAATCTAGCCAGCATGTAGGCTCTTCTGTATGAGGGGTTAGTGAGCACTGCAATATAAAAGGCTGGGTTTCCCTGTATGAATGGAATTGCCATGTTAATAGGTGAACAGGATTTATTGGCCAAGCTCAACAATTGGTTATAGTCCCTTTCAAGCAGCCTCCTTTTAATAAGGGTAAAGATCTCAGTGAAAGTTAGCAAGTTCAAGAAACATAGCCCAATTCCCCAATCTTTGCTAGAACTGTTGAGCACCATTTTGAGTGGTGGAGTTTATTCAAGGTGAGTTGGGTCAGAGAGTTGCTGGGCCTTTGGTAGTGAATAAATAACCAAAATTTACTGATGTTTAGCCAGATAGTGGCCTCTATAGAATATTGACCAGATTCTAGACATAGAACTGCATACGGGACACAGTTTGGGACACCAAATAATTTGTGGAGGAATTTCGAGTGGAAAGATCTGATGGCACTGTTATCAGGGGTTAACCAAATGGGTGCTCCATAGAGTAGTTGTGACATTGCCTTTGCTTGGAAGACTTGCAGAGCTAGGGGGATATATTGGTTGCCCCTGGGGTGGAAAAACCTCTTGGTAGCACTGCCGCTTGATTGGGCATGGGCCAGTGTATATTTTAAGTGGGTGGACCATGACAGGTTGTTACTGAACCAAAATCCTAGGTATTTGAAATGTTTTACTTGCTCGATATAGTGGCCCTTTATCTCCAGACTTGTTTTTTATTGCTTTCCCCAAAAGCCAGGATCTTGGTTCACCTGCAGTTTATTCATCTAACAGAAATCAACAAATTTGTGCAGGAGTCTTTTTAAACCCACATGAGAGAGGGATAGTAGGGCTGCATCATCTGCAAATATCAAGAGGGGAACATGCTTTGGGCCAATCTGGGGACTATGCCCGTCTACTTGGGCCAGGGCTATAGGGAGATCATGCAAGAAGATGTTGAAGAGGAGTGGGGCTAGTACGTACCCTTGTTTGACTCCCTTTTGGACCAGGATCGGGTTTGACAGGAGTCCCCTGTGGTCTTTTACCTGGCATAGATTTTGGTTGTACAGTTTCTTAATCAAAAAGAGAAGTCTTGGGTCAATGTTAAGGGCTGCTAGTTTTTCCCAAAGCTTTTCTCTGTTCACA